TTGATCTTAATTCACTCGCTGCAGATGTGTGCATTGTTCTGTAACAACCAATTCTAACATGCGGCCATTATGGAAAATAATTGAACCTCCTATCTCTGTTGTTACAACCAGATCGTGTTTTTTATTTCGATTTTTACGCAGAGTCAGCTTTTCGGTTCGCATTCATATTTGTTCAATCTTATATACTAGGTTGTAATATTCATTGGAGCATTTTCTTGGATTCGTTTGGGCTAGGGATTCTCAGTTGAAGCTTCGTTTATAAATCAACCAAATAATAATAAATCAGGATCATTTCTAACAAACTGTGAAGTTGTGAATTCGGAACCAAAGCATTGCACAATGACTTACAAATAAATACAATTCCGGAACACTGATTTGTCTTCCTTAAAATGCTTACACATGTCATTCGCATGTTACGATATTCACTGCAGCAGTTCTAAGACGGGCTTAGTCCTGATCTTGTACAAGACCTGACTCACGATGTGTCATGCCACTTTGGAAAGAATAGAAAAACAAATTCAGCCCCTGTCTCAGAGAGAAAAAATTACGCCAACAATTCAAGCGTGTCATTTCGCGCTCCTCAATCTTACAAAGAAAGTGATGATATTGGAAGAAACAGCATAAGTTATTCCAGCAATCTCATCCAAAGTGGCATGATGCGATTCGAAATTCATTAAAAAAAATATCTCGGGTTAAAACTGAAATAAAACCATAGCATGGGGTTGACAGACTTTTAACGCTTGAGGCAAACGGTGATTAGAGATTGAAGAGAAACTAAATGTATTTTTGGCGTAATATAGCGCAATAAACTCTGATGTTGTTGTCGAAGGTCATAACAATAAAAAGTGACCGATGTTGATGTAGAAATTACGCCTCAGGGTAGCATGATCGACACCCGTTGCTCCTTTTGTACCTTGTGCAGTGTCTCACAAAGGTTGTGGACATGTTTTAGATATCACTAAACCCACCCGTCTGTGCCATTTTGTCGGCTACCGCGATTATTTTCTAACCTCCGCAGGTCTCGGCCCCGTCGTTTCGCACCTCCACTCGGTGTTTTCTCAAAGACAGCTCCGTCGACGCAGTTCCATTGGCCCGTGGAAACATCGACCCGGGCAACCAACTCTTGCAGGTTTTTAACATTGATAAAGCGAGGATTGAGATTTTGGTTTGTATCGGTGGGAACTTCTGTGGAAGCGGCCCGAGGCATAACGGAAACCAAGGATCCTGGAATAGCTGGTGGGCAGCACTGAGCCTCAGATTGGCTGTGATCGGTCCAATCAAACCCCAAGTTGTATTTTATAGCCACTTTGTCTCGATAACAAAAACGTTAGACTGCTGGGATTAAGATTTCGAACACAAAGCTTGGAGGTTTTCCTAAATTTTCATGTAATCGAGAAATACAAAAACTGAAATTACCGGATGAAATGAAAGACTTGTCTAAAACAGAATATAGGGGGCCTAGAAACGTAGGCCTATGTCTGACTTTGACATGAAAGCTTTAACTTAAGTATGTACAAGATTGTCTTCAAGGCAAGCCATGTTTGTTGAAAAACATGAACCGTTAGTGATGAGACAAACTGTAAATTGAATAATTGAGTTATGTTAACAAGTTGACAGATGCTGCACTTTCGTCAGGGATCTTCTAAACACACTGTTTTATTCTTTCTCCCTGACTTCTTGCGGAAACCAGTTGCCTAGCCATATCTGTCAGGCCGGCACACACTGTCCCGACGACCCGGCTCCACGATGTACTTTCCCGACCACGAAATCAAGTCATCAAACCATCAAGTGATCAGAAATTATAACGAGATAATTCTTCTACCACGGAAGCGGCCTCGGAACAGGCGGCCTTGCGGCGTATTCGCGCCCTTGTACAGGCCGCGGTGGTACGGGCCTGCGTCCGCTGTTGTTGGCATGTTTGCCCGTTATCTAGAAAAGCGACGCCGAAAAGGCCAGCGGCTTGCTCTCTGTTCTTTTTGCAATGCTCTTCCAATATCTTGACTTGTTCAAGATTAGGCATGCATGAACATAGCTGGACAGACACGCATCACGTAAAACGAGTAATTCGACGCACCTAAGCGGCATCTTGGAGTTCATTAAAACTCCTGGGTTTGCGTCCGAATGTCCAAGAGAATTAAGACGGAATTATTTTGATATTGCTTTGAGCCAAGGTGCACGTGGCACATGACAACCAGGACCACTCATGCGCAGTCGCGTATGATTGAACTTTCTGCTCCTCTCATTGGTTGAAAATCCTAACAGAAAACTTTATAAAGGCAACGATTGGCTATGCAAAAGTAATTGTTGCTATCATCCTCTAACCTCACGTCTTTCTATCGGCTGAATGTTTTGTCAGCACAAGACATTGGATAGATATCTCGGAAATATGAAAATATTGATAGCCATTATGTTTGTTGAGCCATTTTCGTTGAAGCTTAATAATGCCAACGAAGACGGTGCCCTTCGAATAGAATTAATTCTTTAAGTTGACAATAAAAAATAAAATCTTATTGTAGACGCTTTCTGCAAAATGCGCATTGTAAGCGTTTCAAAATCATTTAAAATGTGGCAAGTCAATTACAGCTCCTAGATTCGATTCCCGTGGGGCTGTCGGGTCTTAGCATTTCACCGCCATGAAATCATCTTCTGAAGTTGAAAGTGGGTTAAGATGCCTACCTTTGGGATTTGCGCTGTGTCTCATGCACATGTACTTGTGTTGGAGTTGTAACAGCATCGTGCCAGTGGAGTTTGGTGGCGTAATGCGCCACAGCGACCATTAAAAATGTACAGGGAAGTGTCATAAAGTGTTATGGAACCGTTATTGTATACGCATTGTACAGGCAAAGCAATATTTACTGTGTATCGGTCACTACAGTCTGTATTCTGATACCTGAATGTTTTTCCCGTGTGGCCAAGAAGGCAAGATCAGGCATAAAACGAAGTTATGTTTTTACACATTAATATCAGAGCAACTTCCTTTTAATTAAATTTTAAAATTTTATTTGGACAACAGGCCTTTGTGTTGCTGAATCACTCCTTTTCCGACGTGTTTGTTGCCAAGTATTGGACGCTATGGTGACTTTGATAAATATCACTGGATACGTCTGACGGCCATATTCTCCAGACGTTGTTTAAATGATGAAGATTCTTCGATCTTAAACTTATATAATATGGAATTTTCACATTGATCTAGATCAGCGGCCAGTCACGGCAACCAAGACTTAGTGATACCAGCCAATACGTAATGATGCTGACATGTTGAGAAAAGATGAGGTGGTTCTTATTGGGTTTAAGAAAACAATACTAAACGCCACCTGACCATGCACTGACGTCAAATACTATTCTTGCGAATTAGTTATTGTGTCAGTATCGATTACCCACAAGCCTACAACCTATTCGATTCTTAAACTTCCATTATCTTGAACTTTAACAAAGTGATTGGCTGCAATGTTCTGGTCTAAGAACCCTAGACAATCCGACGTCGTAGGTATTGCATGCACGGAAGTCCTTCGTTTCCCCTGAAGTCTCATTGGTGTAATTCTCGCGAGAGTTGGCCTTGCCAAGTCGTCACTAGCAGTTTTTTTTTCGACTAAGGTGCCCCTTTGATGGATACCGCCTTGGGTAACCTCGAGCCCGGGAGTTTTAGAGCCCTGGCCCCTGGTGATGACATTGGCAGCCAGTAATTATGGATTGATGTGATCTGTAGCGCCTCAACTTCCGGTAGGGTCTGGGGAGAGAGAGCTGGGTCAGAGAGGGTATTCCGGGGAGGCATATACCTGCCGCTAAAAGGGACAGAAACGCCCTTAGAGGGTGTTACAGGGAGGGCGCGTGATTTCTTTGAAAGGGAAATGTGAAATCAAAGCTTCGTCTGTCTTCACAATTATGCATTCCAATCGATTTTTTTTCAAATGCGTATAAAGTTCTGAAAATGGAATTGGAAGAGAGTGAATAAATTTCGTATGCAGTTTGAAGGACAGCTTCTAATAAATAGCGCGATGGTTTGTCACTCAAACCAAGCAGGATTCACGAATGGCCCGTTGAAATGATACATCACCTTCTTGCAATCGTAGCTTTGTCAAATCTTTCGCGAGCAGGATCCACAATCTAAGTACCAGTCACGAGTCTGCGACCAAGAAAACCGCAGAGTTACATGGTGGTTGGCACACGCTTCGTGCGTACAGCCGACTCGTCAAGGCCACCAGACGGTCCCGCGCTTCAAGATAATCTCGGTATAATATTTGCTTGGGATCAGCTTACAGACAGCAGCGCGTCTCCGGGGAATTGTACCGGGCCGGCTAGCCGGTTGAGACGGTCGTCATTTCCTCTACCGCGCGTTCCCTGTTCACGCTATTGACAACAAGAAGGCTTTGCTGATAATCAGTTGTCATTTGACTAATCAAAACGCGAAAGAAAGCCATATGAACGGATATGAAGTATAGTGAAACATTACTGCCCTCATGCACAAAAGAGGTCCTTGATTGAGCAAAGAAATTTGATACTAAAGTTGTCATTATTTTAGCCTACACACTACTACATGTACATGTGTACATGAAGTCATATAATGGCTCTGACCATGGATGGTTTCTATCGGCCCTGGAATAAAGTATAAAAACTACCTTTCCTTTCTAGATGACGGTATCCCAATGTTAACCATTACTTCCACTCATGATATTTCGCTCTTCGCAATTAATTAAAATAGTTTGGTCTTACATTCGCATTCAAATCTTTCAACTTCAGTTTTCTACTGGACTAACCTCAGGAATTGGGGCGTCAGCGTTCATTTTCCACAGCGGTTCAGAAAATTACCGCTTTTATTCAATGCGGTTTTGGCTGTTTATGTTGTTTGCATTTTGCGGTACCATCGAATATATCAGACATTCCTTTCTCATCTCTCGCTTACCATCACAATGTTTGAATATCATATTCAAATGTGACAGGAGCAGAACAGTTCCAAACATTCAGGACTTATACACCGTTTTATATTTGCCATCTCCTTGCAGCCGATGCGTTCTGGCCAGCGACACAACATAAACGACATGAACGGCATGATGCACCATCATCCCTCCACACACCCCATGCATCACCACCACCATCACCACCAGCAGACAGCGGCCATGATGAGATGAAATACCCGGATGGTACACATGTGCAGGAAAACATGGACTCTTTACCATATTATGTACTGCGCCTTTTTTGGACACAAGGTTGGCAACTTCATGAAAATTTGCTCGAAGGTTTGCAACCTCATTCCCACTATAGGATGACTACGGTTCTTCAAGTTTCGTTGGACCTACAGTGGATTCTTTGTAAACAGTTTACATTATTTTGCATTATTATATCATTTTTTTCTCGATAATTTAAAAACAAAATCCTGTAAAGATTTTATTAGTATGCGTAGAGATTGTTTAATAGTAGTTCAAGACACTTGCAAGATGCTGAAATGTCTGGACAGCGTTGTGTTGCGAGTGAAGCAGATCCTACTAGAGTTACAAAGAAAAAGCATTGTTAAGGTGGTGTTCCCTGACTCCTGGAAATGGCGTAAGCAATGGAGTGTTATCCCTTTCACCCTGCTTCGCTCTTGCCAAATGAATGACTCCTCAGGGTTGACATCTATTATCCGAAGTCGGATGTCCTTGTCATGTCCAGTGCTGTTGCCTATAAGTTATGGGAAGGCCTCAGGGTATACCGTGTCAACATAGACCGGATATCCGCTGTAATTTATAGAATATGAACCTTCTGATAAACAATTAAACAACACAAAGTATGAAACTTAAAGCAGGTCCAAAGTAAACCTCTGATTTTAGGCCAAGGAGGGGGGACATACAGGGAAGCATATCTCTCACAACATTTGAAGCATGCAAATAGGCCTGCGAAAGATCGGACCCTTACATCGAAAGCAGCACTAGCTGAGGTCAACATAGTACTTCCGGGGTCAACAGGCGGGGTTAGTTTGCAAAGAGGAGAATATTTATATCCTGTTCTCCAATGGCCTCTACTTATCAACTCTTGAAAACAAAAGCGCCATGTAGCTTGTTTGGTTTAATCAAACATGGCTCGTTAATGGGTTAACATAATCTTTTTATTAGACATTATTAGCCTGACCAGATATAATTTTTGGTAAGAGAATGATATGCAAAATAATGTTAGTATACTAAGCGAAGGGCCACGGTTTCCATCATGTAAACAATTCCTGCAATTTGCCGTATAAAATGACACTGAGCCTTGTACCACTTTGTTTAACAGCTTGCCAGCTCACAAGAATGCTATCGTATAGATCGCAAAAAGCCGTGTAATCCAATTGTCATCAATGTCATCTATAAAAAAGATGCTAGACATGAGCATCTGTAGCAAATGATCAACTTATCCAGATGCAATTGTATACACGACATGCTGCATTTTTTCCAATGTCATTTTTTATAAAGTCGAGGTAACGTCAGGTGGCAGTTGGTATCAAATCAACAACGCTGTGACCGGAACAGATAAGCAGACTGACTTTGTTATTAACATAGGATCTCCCACCATAGAGTGTGCCTAACACGCAAGAACATGTGAATTGTTACCTAAGCAGCTATTCTGCCAGGTAATTTGCTGAGTTTTGGGGAGAAACATTACTGGAAAGAAAGTTGATTTATCGGGAGATGAGATAGCCAAACTTGATAGTAATACTGAGCTTGTATTAAGTACTTGTACATGTAAATGGTACTACTACGCAATTCCATGGGCAGTACAAAAGGATGAAACCTAGAAGAGTAACCGTAAATGGCTTCCAACATGAAAATAATGCAGACAGAACCAGATTATACCAAGTATCTAATTGTCGCTGTGTTGGTATTCTGATGAAGTGGTTGAAGCCATTACCTAAAATGAGTACATTTAATTTGTACAGTGTGTTATTAAGTATTTACCCAAGTTCTTTGTGTCAGTCGTCTTTAGATTATTGAGTACCCCTAACCTGACAAAGATGTGTCAAGTTGACTCTGTAATGCTATATCGTGACAGTAACAGTTTCTACCAACACTGTGTTGCTATTCCATAGCTCCTTTTTCTTCCACTGGCTTTTTTGTGCAACCTGGTGTCGCCATCCAATCTCGATGTTCTTTTTAGAAACGGTATTGCCTTTATGGCACGATAATGTTTCTCTGACACATTGTTTTTAATACAGTGAGTGCTTCTGTCGAAGATTCTGCTCTTCAAACCAGACGTTAAAATTCCTTATCGTATCAACATCCAGTATAAGCTTAAAAATATTGTTAGTTTGATTATTGTTTGCCTTTTTGTGAATTCAGTTCCTTGAACTGCCACCAAGCCTCCTGAATATTATGGACCATAATACGAGTGCCTGGCGATGCATACATATTCATGCAGTTGCTTTACTGTTACAAATCATGATGTATAGGTCTCGGTTTCTGCAGTAAATAGCCTCACCATATGCTCAAATCGAAAAAACAGGTTTGTGATAGATAGATAGATCACAACTCTATGGGAGCGAAAGACAGGGAAATACTGAAGTGAAATATTTAGGTACAGACTACAAGCGTTTGATTTCTGGTTATTTATTACCTTTAGACAACAGGTTGTTTGGGTTTTTTTTTTTTACTGTAGATTGGTGTGAGGTCATTTTTTTATGTTCTTAATTCCGTTTAGACGTGACCATGTAATTCCAAAAGTACTTAGTTTGTATGAACTGAAAATTGAAATGATACAAAATCATCTCACATTTCATATTTATTCCTGAAATGTTATATCCATGCAAAGGTATATTTTCTGATAAAACGTTTACAGATACAAGCTGAAGTGAACGATGCTTTCTAGTGAAACTTGATGCAAATGATCAAATTTAAGCAACGGTGTAGTTGAAAGGACATTAACTCAATGGGAATACAAAATATTCGTTAACGAAATTTAAAACTTTGGAAAGGTACTGTTAATCCGATGTAATGTTTTTTTCCTAGTACTGACATTCAACGAGACTTTGTGAGAAGATGTACCTTTTTTTTTCGTTTCTTCATTTCACTCCCATTTAAGTTCTTGTTTGTATTTTGCGATTTCACTTTGGTTTATCCTTTTTTGGCCTCTGCCATGACACAAGAGTAGCTTAATCATTGTGGCACGGTGTGACTGCTTGTAGGGAAATTGTCCAAACATGAAAGACATTGGCATTGTTAATATCAAAGTGTTAGTGGAAAGATTGTACAGTAACAACCATTCTTGGCAACTGTTTCCCGATTTCCTTGTATTTACCTGTAGTTTTGTATTTTCTAACGAGGGTTTAGAGTATAAGAGGCCTGGGTGACCTCACCTTGAGGAATTGTCAATAACTTCCTGTCAGTACTTGTTAGTGTTTCCAGTGGGTTTCCAAAAAAGGTCCGCATTTGATTTGAGGCTGTTTTTCCAAAGAATAGGATGGAAGTGTCACTCTTAGCATCATGGACCGAGAGAAAGTTTATCGTTGAGAAGTAACTCTACGACACAAGCAACATGTATCTTCTCTGATTTTGCGAATTTGCAAACTTCGTTGTCCGCTCTTTAATCTGTAAAATGCTCTCCAACCTCATAATTATATTCTCAAACCTTACTATTTTCATATCAGCCTTTATGTTACGTCGTTATAACCCCATCAATGGGAATGTTCAATGTTTTACTTCATAGCTTTCAAATAACACAAGGATACAACGACTTGACTTTCACAGTTTTTTGGTTCGAGGGTTGTGTGTTTTTCAGTTAGGTTTTTAAACACGATAACATAAACTACGCGCTGTGTATTATATCTAATTCTTAATTAATGATCTTGCTAAGAATCATGGTAAAGACAATACTTTGTATCACATTTCAAGATTATCCTTTGTACAATAACTATTCGTCAACCTGCGTTTTACAGTACGTAAAGCAATTAAATGCGATGTAATTTTTCTAAAAGTACGCAGTTAACATTTGTTTTTATAAATACAAAGTTAATTAATTTACTTTCTGCTGATTGATTAATTTTTTGGCATTCTCTGAATTTTTAGAGCACAATAAGTAAAATGATGGGGGGACATACAGTCACCTTTGTGCGAGGTTGTCCAGCCGCTGTGTTGTCGCACAACATCCATTTCACTAGAAAATCTAGGTTGTTATGTAAATTTGGTTTGGTTTAATCTGGATGAAATACATGTAGCATCGCAACTTACCCAAAGAAGGCGCATGTTTGTTGGGTTTTCCTTCTTTCTGTAATCTTTTCAGATAAAACCCCATACACAGAGTTCAGAACGAAGTTTACAAATGCTTCCAAGTTAGGTTCCGGCTACTTTCAGTGTGAACAAAACGCAGCCCCAGACAAAGACAGCACCATTCAAGTGTCTACATAAAACTAAGCCATACCCCCCCCCTTCGACATGTTGGCATTAAAAAAATCTATTCTAAAGTGTATTTATTAATTTTAGCAATTGAAAGCGCTTTTTCAAAATTTGCATACCGCCTTTCTTGAGGGGAAATTTCTTTCATCGATGAAAAAAATGGGCCTAATTTTGGGGGGATGAAATCCCACTTTGCCCCCTCCCCCGGATAGGCCTACACCAATAGATCCACGGTTAGAACACAGAAAAGCTATCCTCTATATGCTCACAAAAAGGTAGGATTTCACACTCAGGCAAAATGACAACACTGCGAATGTGCCGGCTTGCAGCTCTGGCCTGCCAGATGACTTCAAAATGGGTTGAAAAAATTGTTTGGTACTCAATCTAAAAATCGAGGTCCTGTATCCAAAATCATTTGACCTAATTTGGCGGGAACTGACTGGAAAGGTAGAGGAAAAGATCGTGATGGAAACCACATGTTAGTTGCCGATGACAACTCTATCGCCTATTGGCTGCAACGGTCGGCACAAGCACAAAGAAAAGGAGTCGACCTCTTGGAAAAAATTGATTTAATCAACAAATGCCGGAAAGCAAGCCACGTCCGATCTAGAAAGTCAGCCACTTTCCTTGAAATTAACAATTTCTTTCCTTGCATAACCTCAGTATGAATATTTTAAGCAGATTCATAAGCTCACATACTGGTTTACCAGACATTTACTGTTATTTTCGTGGAATGATTTGGGATAAACCCATGCGTGAGTGGCCTATCGTTCTACGTTAACAGTATGGATTCAAATAATGGAAGTCGTTTTTTACTGTTCCTTTCAAAAGTCTCTCTCAAAAAAGCTATTCCCCTGTAGTTCCCAGTTGTGAACTTTGGCTCTCCCCTCGTTTAGTCATTCCTATTTGCGACCATCGTGACTAGTTCTACCACAACATGGCGCCAAGAATTCCCCCTTACCAGCCCTCGCGCCTTAACCGCCTGGATGATTGAAGCAGGAGAATAATGAAAACTAATAAATGGGATTTTTTATTTAAAAAAACTCACGCAATACAAAGGATTCATTGTTACTTCACACCTTTGGACCCAAAAACATTTTTAGAAATTAAGGATATTTTAGCCAAAGCAAATATCAAGGAAACCATGGAAAAAATTCTGTGGAGATACGACAAATCTAACACCAGCCAGTAATCCAATGATATTCGTTTTTACTCGTCTCCAAGTTCTCTGACCGTCTGGCAAGGAGCACAGCTGAAAATAACACTCGGCGGATTTGGAGACAACCCAGATAACGTACGTGATATTCAAAAAGATGATCGTTGGCCTTTTGGTATGACATCTGACACAGGGCTGATGGAAATTAAATTAAATACAGATGTTATAATTGTGTTGACCGCTTGAAATCCTCGAACTGGTTGGCTTTTCAGAGGAGGAAGTGGGTGTTATGTTAGAAGAGTTTTGTTAATAAACACATTGATTTGATTTAAACAACGTTACATTTTAATGCAAGGTAACGCTTTTCATGCAGCCTTCAGATTCTGACATTTTGAAACAATTTCTTGGAACAGATAATACCACAGACATCCTAGGGATCCCCTCTGTCGTCGTCTTCACCCAATGAAACAGTTTGTCTTTAAGTGATGATCATTCACAAATTCGACATAAGCTCCGTACAACAGGTGCAGTTAACACAACAACAAATAAAAATGGCGCCTCCTACATCGATACATCTACTTTCACCCTTTGCCAGCACGCGGGCCAAGTAATCTTTCGGCAATATTATTTTGTTTTGACTATTCCCCGGCAATTTCTGCCGGCACAGGGAAAAAATCCGCAGTAAGCCCTGCAGACTGATCGTCGCTTGGGCTTTGGTCCTCACCCGATACCGTCTTAGCCCGCGAGTAACGCGGCAAGCGAACAGGTGACGGTACGGTCCATCGGGTGGTGACGGACAACCCTTCCAGCTACACTCGCTGTACCTATCGCTTTTCGCGCCTCCGATACGGAAATATTTCACGGTGTGCGAAATAAAACAAGACTGGATGGGAAACACGAGAATCCGTCCCGGTATCCTGAGGGTCTTTACTTCCAGAGAATGACGGGTGAGAATGAAGACTCTGCGGCTTGGAGTGATCTGCTCCCTTGCTGAACTACTCTCAGTTCAACCGGACTGTAATAATTTAACATGCTAGATTTTTATTGAAAGGACTCTTATTTAGGCCATCATTTTGACCAAAAAACAGAGAGAGGTTTGATATTTAATATCAAACAAGTCACCTGTTCTTTTCAAAGAAGTTTTGTATGCAAGCCGTGTAGGCAGGAGGTGCTGTAAATAAGATCGATTGGCGTTTGAGGTGTGTGTGTGAACGCATCAACAAATCTAGAGACAATAAGCAATTACAATAATACACAACATTTTCTGCATTTACGGAAACTGAAAATCCTTGACTGTTGAAATCTTAAAATTTTTCCTAACGTTGTCACAAAAACATTATACAAAGCATCCAAATCAATTCCAACACTTAGTAGATCCATCTAAAGCAGTGTTGGTATTAGTTATTCTGTAAATACCAAAACAAACAGCCGACAAATGTTATGGAATAACAAAAGTTTTGAATGTAAAATATTCCAAAAAAGTGGAAGGTTTCAGAACTGACTGAAATGAAGGAACACGTAACAAAAACACAGAAATACAGAACATGAGTGCTGAAGACATGACTCAAAAATGACCCCCCCCCCACAGCTTCGACACATCAGTGCTTTCGATTACATGTACATGACCTAAAATTATGAACGAATATATGGCTGTGGCTACAGCCAGTTCCCATAAAGTGTGTGTAATTTCAAGTCACAGCCAGCTGACTTAGACACAACTTCACCGACCTGCTGAGCCGGTTACTTGAGGAAGTATCCCACAATACAATGCGAAAACGTGGCCGAGAAAGGAAATAGTTAAATGTATTGGCAAATCGGCTGAAGTCATAAATGAAAGGCAAGAGTTGTTTGTTTGGAGATAAGTTGCTTTTGCATATTCGGATTCATTTTTGCAAAGTTAATCGATGCATGACCTCTTAGGCGGTCGAGACACATCGAATAACCTGACAGCGTTTGCTTTAACCATATTGCGCAAGCCCGTCCAAACCTAAGAGACACCACAGACTAGTCGGAGAGAAGCAATCAAACGGCCAGAATGAGCTCATGTTTGTTGAGAATGTTAATGAATAAACCATGAATGTATATGAAAACAGTAAACTGGCGCATTGAGCGTAAACTTGACAAAAAGTACCACCAACAATGAAGCAAGACATCCTTACCTGTGAACAAATTATCACTTTTTTAGAAGGAAAGATGATAACGGAACGGCGGCAAACATTGTATAGAGGGCGCTCATTCCATTTTACAAGTCAGAGTGGCTGCAAACAGCGCTTGTAGTACATTGAGGGCGCTGTACTATAATAGCGGGAGCGGTTTAATAATGGAAGTACAGTGATTCAGCTGAATGGTTTGACGAAGTGCAACAGCAAATTGTCTTTTTATGCTATGCAAATCCAGTTGAAAATCTGGAATAACTAGATCACGGAGGACGTTTGCTAGTAAACATTATCTTATTTCCTTTTGACCTATTACCTGCCTTGTATACTCCAATCTTAAATGCACAGTCAATGAACTCCGAGGCTTAGGTACGATGCAGAGGGGCGCACTGTTCCAATTCAAGGCAAATTCTCTGACTAGCCGAGGCGCTTAAAAATTACAGTTTCCGACTTTTGAAACGAGAAGTTTGTGTGGCTCAAGAAATTCTGGGATTGTATGTGTGTGTCCAAGGATCAACATTCTGGGTTCAGGAGCTCACATCCGAGGGCAAAGCAGACAAATATGCTACTGAAAAATTATCCAGAGTTTGAGAAAGTGAAGGGATGTCATTTGAAAAAAGGCTGCTGACTTGGGAACGGTCACTCTTGGGGGTGAGTTTGTTTTCGGTGGTGAACTAAAAATCCAATTGGTTAACCGATTAAAATTTGAAAATAGATTGAAATCTGTAGGACTAGTGACACACTGTTTTTTGTTTGAGAGGCCTCGGGGATTCGGTTGCCCGCAATGGGGCTCTTAACTTTGCTGATTTTACACTCTTTTCAATCGAGCTTACATTAGTGCAGTGCACCCAGAGGGAAAGGGCAGTCGACTCTTATGATTGATTACAGCAGAGGGCGCTGTATAAAACCGTGATTCAGACCACAGATAAACCAGACTTGCCAAACTGAGACCTGCACATGGTGATCGTGATCTGCATGCAGTGAATGAAAGTTTGTATTGGTGTTTGTACAAACCTTTCGAAACCCAATTTGAAATCTTTGGTTATGGTGAAACCATTAACTGTAGTTTACATGTAGTTTGAATCGCAGTTGTGTCGCTCCACAGCACATGAGTAGTATGTGACTGTACATGTACATCGCTGTAGTGAGATAAAGCAGTGGGGAATAGGGCCATTTTTTTCACACGCTAGCACCCCATATTCCTCGCTTATGACGTAATGAAAAGAAGAGGGCAGAATCCTGTAACCATACCTCAGGAGGAATCTGGGGAAAGTTTGGCATACCATGCACCCAGCGCACGGGTTTCTCATTCAGCTTAGATACCTCAGAGCAATCCCCCATCTCATCTACCAGTCATCCAGGATCAGACTTCACGGTCCACTTACTGTTGGCTGAGCTGACCGATGATCGCAGGAACGCCTACACATTCGTGTCATTCTCGAATCATGACATCAATCAATCACGAATCTCGCCATAAAAAGTATCATTCGTTGGACATCCGTCTTTAAAGGGCACACCCTGGTTTTCCTTTGCCCAAAACTTCATAGCGTTATGTCTATACCAGCTCTCCTGGGTCCCTCTTTTGAAGTGCCTGGAGAGGAGGTTGCAGTGCCCTTGGAAACAATGTTAACACTGTCTGCGCTGTTAGGAATCTAGGTCAACCTTGCTCTCTGGGGACCCAAAGAATCCAAGGAACTGGGTTTTGTCTTCTTAGGCTCACACTACGAGTGAGATGAGAGGCATCTCGGTATGGAGGCTGACAGGTGAAGAATTTATATGAAACTCTGAAGGGACGGGGAGTGAGGAACGTGAAGGAAGAAAGGACACAGAATATTGTTAGCTCTTGTCGGGCTCCGTTCCTAATTCAAGTCAGTTTTCTTTCTCTCCTGCAAAAAACACTGTTTCTGAATTATTCATAGAATTGTTAGTTCGATTCAGCTATTTTGACGTGCATAGTATCACTATGTCAGTAAGCATACAAATCTCAGAAACTTCGGAGGACCACCGGCATCCAAACCTTGGCTATTTTTGATGATTACAGATTGTTGTACCACACAATTCATAGACCCTCACAAAAACGGCAAATTCTTTTTCCGCAGCAAGTAAAATGACTCATCTTGCAAAAACGGAGTTGAAATTATACCATTAATTTGAACATTTCTGGTGAGAATTTATAACGTTTACATTAAATCATTTACAGTCCTGTTCTCGTTTGAAAAGTTAAAATAATTGCACGAAGTGGTGTCACTGAGTATGTGAATAGCAAAGAAGTTACTTAAAATACTTCCCCGTGAAAGTACTTCATGTAGCTTTTGTCCTTTGCGTATGAAGGCATGTTCCGAGGACGGTTTAGCCTCCCCCTCCCCGCCACCCGGACGGCGCCAAATGTCAGACTGGGCAGCCACGCGATGTCGGTCAGGCGCCCTCACACGCTGAGTAATTAATGTTGTGTCTCCGCATGGAGTGTGTGGCACGCGGGTATGGTGCACACATGGCAACATTCAAACATCGTTATCAGTAAATCCTATTCATATTTTCAAACATGTACATACGCCTATTTTAAAGTCAGTGTTGCGTGTCTAGTTTTTTATCTAACATACGGAACTGGCCCTCGCCTTATCTATGACCTCTGACAGTTGCTAAGTTAGACTGTCTTTTACCTCCATGGTATAGGCCTACACAGAATCAACTAGATTTGTGTGAACTGTTTGCTTCCATAGAATTCTGCAGCTTGGTCCTCCTGGAGGAGTCTTCCATTAGAAAGATCAAATAGCATTCAAGCACTCGGGACTTTGCTTCAAGTCATGTACATGTACTATACTTAGAAGTTAAGTACCCGATATAATTGTATGTGACACCCCCAAGGAAATTTGTTGAGCCCTTCAGTAAGTCCTACTCAATTCGGATTAATGCAATCTTATGTTTTATATTCCACAAATGGTTGCCCTTTGAGTTCAGTTCACGACTATTCGCGTCAAGCTCAGATTCTGAGTCCTGGGCAGCAAATGAGTAAAACCGCAAATGTAACCATACCACAAGCCGCCTTTCGACTGCTACTTGGTTTTTTTTGATAATCCTGTTTTGTCGCCGACAGGGATCACTTGTCCTCTCTCTCGGTTATAGTGTGACGTGTGGGGGCGCTACAACAGATCTCCAACGAAGATGTCAGGTCTTTTGAGTAGACGCGTAGGAAGTTAAGTGGCCGGATGTACTAAAGATGAAATATTTTGACAAAAAGGTACAAGCAAGATAATGCTGTGAATTGCATCATAATTGGGCAAAGTATCTTCGGCAAAAGATTTTTTTAAAAAATTAAAAGATCAGTCACGATCAACGAGCATTTTCACTTTGGAGTGCAGTGGCGACTTCATGGGCGATTTGTACCATTTCCTGGGTTTCACACGAGTAGGACTCCTGGAAGTATCTCAGTGGAATGACCAATCTAACAACACCTCGAGGGGAATCACTCAGGCTTCCTAGATGTTCGTAATGGTGTTTCAATTCTTCCCTTTTCCTGGGGAAATACATACGACATCGCACGATGCCTTTACCGTCACCGCTATTCAACGAAACACTCATCCCTAAAGAAGACATACAAATACAAGATGCGTTTGTTTGTGTAGACAAGCGATCCATCCAAGACATTCTTCCGGGATTTGGTACGAGCGACGGGGTGGAACTACGCAGGTGAGCCGCCATACAGCTCTTCACACACCGCCATCAAGGGGAAGAAACACAACCGGTCCCTGTTGACAGACTTCGCGTGAACACGGTGATAGCAAGTTGGTAGTTGTTTGACTGGGTCGGGGCGGGAATTGATGGACCTGTGGATAGATGGGACCCTTATGATAAATCGAACGGACTAAGTGGAGGTGTGAATTGAGACGCTGGACGCTAATGACCGAGATTGCCCGAAAATGGGTTGTAAATATCCCATGTAGGTCACCTTCCAGGGTCGAAAAAGTAGGTCTAGGCCCCCTATTGGTTGGAAATCTAGTTCACACGAAGATAAGACGTATGAGAAATTAGCAATCGTTAACATTACACAAGATAGACAGGTCAAGAGCGTCTATTTGTCACTTCCACATCAATAATGTGATTACACCCATAAAGCAATTTGTAGACTTAAACACAAATAAGATGTCCCTCCTAGGTATCCAAAATTCAACGGCCCAAAACCATTTCATATGAGTAGTAAGACCCTCTGGCAGAAACAAGGGAGAGGACGGGGACTAGGATCTTCAGAAGACCGAAGGGAACGCATTTATCACCGGTATACCCTTCTTTGAAGTTTTAAACACCTGCAAAAATCTCACAATCGTTTCTGCAAAATTACTTTGGAATATAAATGCCATATATCGAACATTTCTCAAAAGGTTTAGAATGCAACTGACATCTTTATTTGATATGTTTATGTCATTTAACGATCCTGGCTTTTCCGAACCTCCAAAGTAACACATATAGGATCTTTGCTCGCGTGGCTATGCGGAGACGAAACGGTCTTCCCCGTCAAATAGTCTCGGTTGCCCCAGTTTGTCTGCCCTACAGATGTGGTAGCAAGTACACCACATTTTTCTTTGCCCCCCTTAGGCCTAAAGTGTACCCCCACTGAAATGATGGACGTCATTTGTAATGATTCTTGGCCTTCTCGGACGCCGTGACAATATTGACGTACACAATTGTGATTGACTCGTCTAGACCCACTCGCGTTTTGAACGCGGGAAATATCCCGGAAGTCAGATGTGACTGTTACATTATTTTTGGCAGGCGAGACAGCTTTGGGGGGAATTTGCAGGAAAGTAGGTAATTCTAGGCAATCTTAAATTGTTGGTAAGAAGCAAACCCAATTTTGACTTGGGAAATTGAGCTGGGTGTGCTTGGGGAGGGGAACCTTGCTAGCCCTCAACGTCAAGCGTTTTGATTTTGTCACAGACTTTTTACAACGAATCGGTATTTCCAACACACCGTTAAGTATGAAGATGTGCTTCCTAAGTGTTTGTCAGTTTACTGTTACTGTTGAGGTTGAAATGTTATTCTTCAAGGAATGGTGGGAAAGTATACCGGAGCAATCATTCGTTTAGACTTTTTTTAAACTAAGGTATAAGCTGACTCCTTTGTACCCGGAGCATCTGTGTAACCGAACCAGTTTACGTAAGAGAACTTGTTTATATCCGTTTTGGTTCCCAAATTAAACAAAACAGCGCTCTTGGCGAGCGGTGTAATTGGACGTTTGAGTCAAGCGATATTGTGCCACGGTACCCCCACGTTATTGACTCAGGTGTACCGACTACCGCGCCGTTGGGTCCCTGTGGAGGGACCGCGTCAGCTCCGCTCACGTCTACGGACCACAGGCACGCTGTCGGAGGTCTCTCTAATTGTTTTCAAATTAAACCGAATTATCCCCTAAAATCTTTCAGGGAAGAAATGAAAGCGAGCGGGAGAAAGACAGCCAAGATTGGGAAGTAGAAATAAAACAGTAAACAACCGGCTAAACAGGTAAGAGTTGGAATTTGATGCGCTACATTCAGTAATCCCTTGGGAGCAGTGTGGAGAAGCGAACCTTCTAAGATTACACCCACCTATGGCAATTCAGAGTCGCTGAGACAGTGAGCAGGTGTGAACGAGCTCCAGGTGACGTCCAATCAGCGGATGCGTTAGGTAACCACCAGCCAATCAATGTGCGTGTACCATCGTTAAAACGCACATGACAGGTTTACGCAGGCACCATGGTTGAGCAGACGAAACGGAACTGACTTGTCACATCTAATAGGTCTATCGCCCACCAAACAAATATTAAAGAAATGGAAGAGAGAATCGGTCTCGATTGATTCACGGGAGAACGGCTTAAGGCTGCTACTCGAACAGACGGTACACTTCTTGAGAACGAGCTGGACTTGATGATAGCCAACAAGGACAGCATACACTTGGTACATCTCTACCTACAGCAATTCAACACGCACTGTTGGAGGTTTGAATCAACAGATCTGTAACATCGGTCATTTGGTAAGTTCCTCTTGCAAATGGAAATCATTCCTATTATTCTGCATATGAAGCCTTACAATGAATGTGAAATTTACCCTCATACAAACAGGAATTTTGACGTAGTCTCGATACTTTCGCTACATGAGTTGGCCGATCCCTCAAGTATCGATTACGTTCACGAAATGCAATCTCTATCGACCTTTGATGCGAAACAAAACCAAGCGAGTTGTTACAAGAAGTCACCGGCTGCCCAAGTCCTCCCGCCCCACTCTAGACCAACAGTCAAATCCGTTTTGCGCTGACATTTCATGCTGAAATGTGTCAAGTTGATGGAAGATGACAACCGTTGAATATGACTCAAGATACTGGGCGGGCGGATGTTCTTTTCCAGACTTTTTTGAAAAGAGGGGCGGTTCTGCAATACCGACATTTAGCGCTTGAATCACAGGCAAAAGTGAAAGGCGAATAAGGAAAACGTTAGTTCAGATTTTGGTATTTCTAGTGGGAAGTTATTCAATGACTGACCATTTTGTTGTTATTTGTAACTTTTAAAAATCAATTTTCCACAAATACAGTGACGGAATAAGTTTCACGTTTGGCAAGGGCAAAGTTGCTCTGTACTCTTGGTAGATTCAAGCCCACATGCGCTGGAAAAATCGTGAACTTGAGTTCAAGTCTTTAAGTTTGATTTTAAAAAATAATAAAATCAATTTCATGAAACGTTGTCAGTGCAAAAATAAGACTGTAAGCGGCAATTAGATGATACCACTTGGGTCTTCATGAGAAAAAAGGGGAGTTTTCTCCAAGATTTAACCCCAAGTTACATGGTCATAACGCAAAGAAAGGAACCATGGAAACCAAGGACAACAAATCCTCTGCAGGTAACGGTAGTTCTATGGAGTAAATGACCAGGGTTCAAGTCTGATCTTGAGCTACGATTTACCTCGCAGTTTTGTAAAGAGTAAAACTGTGGTTCTTTCGGAAGGGAGATCCTTTATATCCTCGGTTGTTATCGGATGTCTGTTTCGGTATAAGGGGGTAAATGCGGGTCACATTTTGACAGATGGAGTCCTCGGTCCAGATGGACAAAGCTGCGGTACTGCTGTGACTTAACACCATATGATTCTACGAGTTGACCGTCCTTAAATAAAGAACTGACATCCTCGAAATTGGCCGTAGCACCTTAATGAGGCCAGTGTTGCCTCAATAAGAACTGCCTGGTCTCTTATAGAACCGGAAACAAAGCAATGAGAATTAGATTCAAAGCAGAAGATGTCAAACATCTTGCATGCTTGTTGGTGAGTTCAACATCGGCTAACGAGGGAGCGCATGGCCGCCAGCAGGTGTGGACAACCCTGGCCCTCGGGGCTGGTACGCTTGCAATTTGTGGTCCGCAAGCCAGGGCCCGCTGATTGGGATTAGGTGTGAACGATGAAGGTAATACCATCTTCCTGCGGCGGATGTCGGGGTCTTATAATGGTGTCCTTGATTTCAGGCCTAGGCTTGGGGATGAAAAGGGCCAGGGTGTGAAATGGACCTCGGGGGGACTGTGGACCGTTTTTTATCAAGGGTCCATGCATTATATGGTCAAATCCGCCCCATAAATCCTGTCAGTCTTTCACAAGTAATTGTAAATCTCTCTGTACAATGATACGAGACAAGGTATAAGTTGCGATTAGCACTTTGTTGTGTGCGACCCCTGGACTACCAGTTTATGGACGAGTTGTGGATGGTCATACAACAGTTATGACAAATTTCAGGAGTTGTCTTTTTGTAGCTGCGCTTGCTGCGGTTTGATTGCAGAGGTATCCATGCTCAAGTAATCCGTAACCTCATGAATAGCTTAGGAGGTTCCCTAAATCAGTTTTACCATAGTCATACCGGGAAATGTCTTTTGAGTTGTCGATCTATTATACGGTAGTGAGTAGGTGCTCAATGAAAGGGCAAACATAAACATGGGCATGCATACAGAGTGGTCCCGTGTCATCAAAATAAACATGTATGTAACAGTTCGCTCGAGCAGAAATCCTGACAAGCTGATGATGCTAAAAGCCTGGATGCCGATCATTTAGGGAAGTCCCACTCCACTGACATCTTCTTGTTAGTTTTAAAGCCTTTTCCGATCCAAGTTTGATTCTGTGTTATAACCACTAGGTCTATAACAATTTGACTCAAACTATTTAGAGGTAGTATAAAATATTAAAGCTACGACATTGTCCAAACGGTGCAATAGCGTGGCCAACAAATTAGGCAATATTTGAAGTTCGATAGGGAGCACTGCTATCGATCGCGCCCGTAGAAATTTCACTGTGCCTCGTGGGTTGTGGCCAACTCCACCTGCAACCCGCATGCCGCTATCTAGATTGGAGAAAATAGGGAAGAAAATTGACAGACAGGTCCCTGCGAACTCGGGGAAAATTGACCGCATATGGGGAGGAAGACAGCGGAGGAAGTCCCGGGGCACTAGGCTGTCACATCACGGTAAGCTCTCTAGGGCCGTTGTCACATCAACAAACCTGACGCTTGTCACACCAAAGATTGGTAATGTTTCTCGCTTAGTGAACAAACTATAAAGTGAACATTTTTCTTCTAGAGCCCATGAGACATAGCTGGGTGACCGGTTACCTGATGAAAAATACCAGCATGAATGAATCTGCGCTTGGATGCTTATAGAGATGTAGGAAACCAGAAAATACTTTCTAATTTCTCTTTTCTCTCATAATCGGGTTTTCGGCAAATACATTGGAGAACTGCGCAGGTAAATCGGTCTTTAAGTTGGGAACATCGCTGCTGTCAGAGCACAATTATAAGGTAATAAGTCAGGGCAATTCTAAAAAAAAAGGGTTTGCAACTTCAGGCTCAGTCTCGGGACTTAAACTTTGAAGCTAAAAATAATTTCGCTGTATCAGGCTGCATTACTTTTGACCACTTAAGTTTGACCAAAGAGATTTTGTAACATCAGCGGTACAGCTGGGCTTCGTATGGTGGGTTACTTTTTTAACAACTTTCAATTCGCAAGATCGATGTAGGTTATATGAATTTTTGATGCACAACAAAGCCAACTCGGACAGGATCATCCTTCAACACAAATGAAAACCATCAAACCCGTACAGAATGTTTAATACATATACAGGACGCATTTCCATCAATAATTCAGCCATGTGGTGTGATATCTACGGGCAAGTATATGAGTCTTCAAATTCAAAACATACTCAGCAGAGAAAAGATCTTCAGCTGATAAAAAGAGGGGTCATCGTCAGCCGTTTGAGAATCCAAAATGTGCTTTCTATACTTCATTTTGGCACGGGCGTGTGCCTGCTGCAAACGCTCATTTCTGTGTAGAGATAAAGGGAAAAGCTTTCCTCTTTGTAATAATGACTTATGCATGATTTATCGTTTCGCGTAGAAGAAACTTTTTCAAACAGCAATCACCCATTTCGAGTATTCCAACAGTGCAAGCCCAAAATGAAGCGCATCCAAGGTTATTTGGACGCGCTTGCGAAGTCTGCCCAATCAAAGCCGCCCTACGCGGGCTCACGCGCATGCTTTATTCCCGAATGACCTTGCTTTGTATAATATAAACGTACAAAACTGGCTCATCGTTTGACCTGCCCCGTGAAATCGAAGCTTGCGGCTCTGACGACTTAAGAATTTATCTCTCTTGAAAGTTAAGAATAGTAATAGTGAAAAGTTAAAAAATAATTCGACCTAATGGTCTGATTTGTTAGTTTGAAACTACAGTGAATGACCAAGAAAAGTAAGTTATAGGCCAGTGTTATCTGTGACATAATTATGGTCCGCATCTGTTTCAGTTTAAGTTTAACGAGCATTTATGAATTAATCCTCATCGTCAAAATCAGTATCCTTTTCTTGCTCAACCAAGAAATTGCACGCTTGAATTTTTCATTATTTGTATTCTCAAAAATAGAGCAAGCGATCGAGCCGAGGGACGGAGAGTTGTGAGGGATTGGGTGGATTGACGTTTAGACGTATCAAGCTAGAAGTCTCCCTTATGACTGCCCATTTCCCAGGGATTTTAGTCATCAATCTTTGTCGCCGACGACTCAGCTAAGCTATCGAGATAAATGCAGAGAAAGAGACAGAAAGGGGAAAAGGGTGGCCGTGTAACTGTTTATTTTCTTCGCTACAAAGTGCACACATAAACTCCTTGCAGATCTATGACCGTGAGAGTGGTTGGAGCATGTGCAGTGTAGCTCTCTAGGTATAACCGAGTACTTGCACGCATGCGCAATACTTCGTTTAACATTGTACATGCGGAGGTTCTTAGTAATTGTTTTGAGATTATGGACGGCTGCGCAATGCTTAATCATCCTACACACCATTTCCCCAACTCATTTGTAAACATCTTTGCGTTACTCATCAATCTGTCACTTGCCTCCGACGATCGTGAGAGTTTTCCTTTTTTTCATAAATCTGCCCACATTATACTAACGCAAAATTAGTTTCAAATGGAGCTTTGGGGGAAGCTGAGGATTCGAACAAAGATACACCGGTATAGTCACGTAGTCAGGATATAAGGGGTGGAGTTGTAACACCTGTTTACTCCGTTTATGTTTCCCCTGTGGGCGTTCCTATATCCCCCCATCCATCTTATAGATTGACAGCTGATAACGAACCCCTAGGGTAATTTGAGGTAAGTGGAACACCTAAGCAAAAATTTAGCCCTTGTGATAAAATAGTAAAGTGTTGGATAAAATAAAGCTTTCTTCAATATGCTACAGGTGTTATTGAACTATGTGGTACTTCAGGAGTGAAACGCAAGTTGAAAATGTTGCCTTATTTTGGCCTTTACTGAGACAATTGGCGTAAGTGGTAGAGCCATTTGGGATAAGTTGGACAATCGCAAAAACATGTAAAATATACAATTTCTATTAAAATTGTTGTTTTAACTTGTTAAATAACAAATTTATATATTTTCACCTAAGAAATATGTGTCTCAATCATAAACAGGCCTATTTAAACATGTTTAGGTAGAATTACTTTACTCAATCGGGAGAGCG